GTAGGCAAGCGTCCATCCTGCATCCTGCCGGCCCCGTGTGCGCCTGGTGCGTGCACCCTAGTCCAAGGGTGAAGGGAGCGGTGGGTGCGTCCTCGACGTGGCTCCTCGTCTAGGCTGTCCTGAGGACGGTGTGCGGTGTGTCCCTGCTGTGTGTGTTGGGGCCGGTGTGGTCCGTGGGCAAGAGGTGTTCTTTTCTTACCTCCATGCATTCCAAGCAGCAGCAGGAGCACAATCTGGCCAGGGAATGCTGAGGACTGAGGGCAGCCACCCTTCAAGGGTAGACATGGCCCCTGGCTGTGTTAAGAGAGGCACAGCTGGCAGACTGAGCCACCCACGCTGGCTGCCCACAGCTGGAGTGGGAGGTGCCAGACCTGCTGGAGCATGGCTTGAGGAACATGGCCCTGCAGTCAGAGGCCCTGGAGAGAACAGGAAGATATCCAGGGGGGCAAAGGGACGTTGGTTAGACCAATGTGTCCAGGGTGACCTGTGGGCCTTGACTGTCCATGCTAGGGTCAGGCTGCCTGGGAGAAAGCGAGGACCGGTTGGGGAGGGCTGGCAGGGGGGGCTAGATGACCTTTGAGGATGCGTGCTAGGGAAGCCTCCTGGGCATCTTGGACCTCATCATCATGCCTGGCCTTTGTGGGTTCTCTGGGGAGGATGCTGGGTCACCTCCAACCCTGAGGCCTCTCTTCCGCTCCCAGGACAGAAGCCACCCGCACTGGCTGGGCAGTTTCTACCTGGCCACTCCAAGCACCCGGGTCCCCAGTGAGTGGGTGGGCCCTTTCTGCTTTCAAGCTGTGTCAGAACCACTGGGGTCACCCCTGTCCCACCCCTGCTCAGTGAAATCCCAGGGCACCCTCTGATTCCTCCAGCCCCACCTAGGGACCAACCAGGCTGTGGGTCCAGTGAGACTACTGACCCTTTGTCACCCAGGGCTGTGCCAACAATGTGCCTGTTTACAAACCACTGTCCTGCCTCTTCTCTCTGACTCATGCCTGCCTGGGAGCTGGGGTGGGGAGGTGGCCTGCAGCCTCCCTCCTG